GACCGTGTCAACTTGATTAAGCTTGATATAATTCTCTTAAACTTTTCGATTCCTCTTCAAATGCGGCTGTGGATACTTAATTTTTTATCCAAGCGTGTATTGGTGATGGGTACCGAAAAAGTTGAAATATGCGGTGGTATCCCACAAGGCAGTTGTTTAAGCCCCATACTCTTCAATTTATACGCAGCTTCTTTTCATGATCTTCAAGATGACAAAACTTATATTTTTCAATATGCAGATGATTTTCTAATTGCATCTGCGGACTCATCTTTTTCAGCAGCTGTCAATAACCTCTCGATGAAAGCGAACTTGCTTTTCGATGCATTCGCTGATCTTAATTTATATTTTAACCCCAGCAAGACAGACACTATTTATTTTGCCAAAGGTTCTAAACATGAAATCAGACTTCTTATCAAGGGTACCCAAGTTAATCAAGTAAAATCTCTTCGATTTCTTGGTACAATTTTAAATGACAGCTTAACCATTCGTGGGCATTATGAAAAGACGTTCAAAGACTGTCAGTCTGGATGCAACATCATCAAACTCATGACAAACAATCAGGCAGGCTTGCCTCCCAAAAATGCTTTGACCGTTTACAAAACTCTAGTCAGGTCCGGAATTGAATTTAGACATTCCACATGTTGCAATTTCCCAAAATATGTAGAGAAACGTATACAAGCATTTGAAAACCGAATGTTGAAGCGTTGTAATGAACTGACCCCCTCAAGTCCTCAACATGTTCTCAATGCAATATCTGGTGAATGGCCGGTTTCGGAAAGAGCCCTTTTTTGCACTGCCAAAGAGCTAATTAAAGTCAAGATGATAAATCCTTCCTTTTTTCAGGAAATTATATCTCTCAGTGATACTGTCACTTGCACCTATACTTTTTGCTATCAAAAACTTCGTCATATTTTTGATAAGTTAGATTCAATTCCTCCCTTGAATTTCATTACCAGCAAATGCAGAGTCTTCATGAACATTCTCGGGTCGATCTCTACCTCAAAACAAAATGTCAACTTCTCTTATATGAGAATGTTATGCCAAGAAAAGCTCCTTTTTTATTACAACAACGGCTACGATATATATGCCACCGACGGTTCCGTCGGACAATGGATCTGGCTTCTCGGTCGTGAAACATCTATCTAAAACAATACATCGAGTCAAAGTGGCGGAGAAACTTTTCTCAACTTTTATTGAGTTGCTCGCCATTCGACATGCTATTAAGGTTGCTATCTCCGATGGTATCAGAAGGTTTGTTATTTTTTCTGACAGCATGTCATCTCTACTTCTAATAAATAAAAGGGATGCAGAAAATCAATATGTGTTTGATATTCACAAGATGTTGCATGAATCTCAAGGGGGTGACTGTCACCTCATTTGGGTACCTGGGCACTGCGGTTTTTCTTTTAAATGTAAAAGCCGACTTTCATGCAGGGAAAGCTCGTGTTGATGGGACAATTCATACAGTCAGACAGTCCATCAAATACACTCCCAATGAAGCAATTCTGGCAATTCGCAACCACATCCTTCAACAGCTAAACGACGAATTTAAAGAAATCGCGCGCGTTAAACCCAATCGCCTTTTCTATAAATTAAATCCCACATTTCAATTCAAACCATTTTCTGTATCCTCTTTTAATTCCTGGAAATCAACATTCTTTATAGACTCATGAGTGGTTACACTTATGATAAAGTTTATTTAAAAATGATTCGTGCTGTACCATGTGATGTTTGTGAAGTTTGCAATGTTGTTGAATCTGCTGAGCATCTAATCTTCAGATATCATAGGCATGATGGCATTAGAGATTCCTTTAGCTCCTTCAAGTTATATGGCTGTCTCCTCGATCTCTTTGCAGCAAAAAATGTAATCCCGGGGAACTAACTTGCTTCATTAGAAGAGCTAATTTATTCTTTTAGATGAGCTAATTTATCCTTTTACAATTTTTTTTTCTCTTCTTTCCTTTTTTATTCTTTTGTTTTTGCGTTCAATCATCTTCTATTACCATAGCATTCCTTTTTCGTTTTCAGCCAAAGTTTTCAACACTGTTTGACTTTCAAGAACACAACAAGCACAATTACACACACACACACAATTACACTTAACATGCTGGCTCCAGGTATTACGGCCGCTCCTTTTTTTGTTACGTTTTGCACGTAATTGCGATCAAAAATTACAACAGTTTATTATCTGGACATATAAGTCACAAATCTATTGGCTTGGTCCATCCCCATTCAACATACCAAAAAAAAAAAAAAAATACTATATGGACCAGCCAACAATGAAATATTGAAAATTAGGCCATCGGAATTATTCTGTGAAATGGAGTTCCGAATTGTTCACATTAATTTAAAATCTCGAAATACTTTCACTAAGAAATCGCTTTCTTCGGATTTTCTAGACCTTGGAATTGTTTTACGTACTCTGCTATTTCCATTTGCTACAATTGAAGACGATAGTTGCTTAGCGGTTATTGTCACCCAGTGGCAACAGTACGACACCACCGATACGTTGTTTAAATATATAAAAGAAAACTATATAAACTTAGAAAATACATTCATTTATAAAATACTTTACGGAACAAAAATAAATTCCTATTGACAAAAAATATATTTTTATTTCTTCAACTGATGCTAGCGTAACAATTTCCCAAATTAGCCCTTTTGCTATAAAAAAAAGTCCTAGATATCATTGCAACACACATAGACTCTATCTCGATTCTACGCGATGGGAATTTACTTGTCCTCGCTGGGAACCCGCGCGCAACCGAAAAGCTGATAAGGTCGAAATCTTTAACTAATTTCTGTGCTATTTCCGCTAAACTGCATGAAAAACTGAACTCAGTTAGAGGCGTAATTTATGCCCCGTGCTTAAAGCATGTGCCGGATAATGAAATAGTTCGCGAAATGGGCAATCAAGGAGTGACTGAAGTATATAAATTTACTAAATTAAATGACGAAAAAAAAACCCGCTCTCTTACAGGAAGGATTATTATGACCTTTGATCGCTGTGGCTGGTGGTGGTTATAAAGTCAAGTATACCTCACAAGCGCATAAATTTAAGCTTATACGTACAATCCGTAGCAATACAAATAACCTTAAACATAAAATTTACATTGCTTTCGCTCTATACCATACCTTCGCAATTGTTTTCTCAACAAGATCTCTACAATTTATTCTCCGTACTTTCCCTCATTAATTGCAAGCGGCGGCTTTAATAGCTGCAGCCCGCATCTGGGGCTCAACAGTGGAAAACAGTCGTGGTACTGTTTTAGAGATGGCCCTTATTCAAAGCAATCTCTGCATTTTAAGTGATGCAAAACCAAAGCGCTTTTCAACTCATTACACTTTTTCACATATTGATTTAACATGTTGCTCTCCCTCACTTCTTCCTTCGTTTCCCTGGTCTATTTCTGATGGTCTACATAATAGTGATCACCTTCAAATCATCACATCTTAACTTTTCAAAGTCCTCTGTTACTCCAGCAAAACAGGCCAAAATCCTCCTAGATAGAGCGGATTGGATCAATTACTCCAAACACGCCGACTCAGTTCTGAATTTAAAGCCATTTAATGGGAACTACAACCATGATGCTGCTATTATGTCTAAAGCGATTCGCACGCCTGCTCATCTCAGCTTTATCAAACGAGCTAGGCTTTCGTGGTGGAACAACACACTTTCGTTTTTGAGAAAAAATAAAATGAATCTCTGGCACCGCTTTAAGAGATGTCCTGATTATGATCATTTGTTACTACACAAAAAGACCAATGCTCTATTCAGGAAGTAAATACGAAATCAAAGATGCCATTTTACTTTTTATTATAATTTACTTTCCCGCCAATACAAACATCGTCAAGATTTATTATAATATATTTCCATTTTTCGAAAAATGGATTGCATTTTAATTGTCTAGACTAATATACCCAATACATTGAACCGTTTTGATATTGACAAGATACTGCCGTCCATCTCATCAATCATTACGTCCATTGTGTACACATCCTTTCGCCCCATTTGTTTCACTTCTTTATTTGATAGACTATTTTTTTGAGATGTGTCTAGATAAAATGTTGGGACCGCACCTCCAAAAAAGTATTAGTCGAGGCATTCCTTTTGTATTCTGATAAAAACTGCATACCGTAAATATATTTCTCTTATCTTTTGGACCATTTAATATATTTGCAATTTATTTACAAGGATTTTAAAAAGCGATCTATTTTCAACAGATTTTTTCCATTGTAGGTACAGTTCTTCACTAAACGCTCTCTTTTATGCACTTCTATGAATAGAATAATATAATAATACTAAAAGTATAAGAATACTAAAAATTATAATAATAATAATGCAAAGATATGTTAGAAATTTCGAAGAGAAGGAATTCTTACTCTTCACCGAAATTCCGAAATATAAAATAAATAATAATGTTATAAAATTCGCTTTGCTAAAATATCCGTATCACTAAACCGTGAATATTTTGTTTAAGAGAAATAAACTGCAAAGTTCTTTTATTTACAGTTATATTCCTTAAATGTAGGATTATTCACAATTTATTTTTGGCAGTACTTGTAACTACTCAACTTATATATTCTTTTTCTACTAAATCTGTCTTTCACGCCTCGCGAATATGCATTCGGTTTTTTTTCTCTTTAAGGAATTTATTATTTGGGAAAATGACTTAGCTGGAATGAACAGGGTTTGGCATTTCCTTAAAAATAAAGATTGTAAAAGTTGTTTTCCACCTTCAATTGCTTTGAATTGTTTAAAATGAAAAATAATTCAAATTTTTTTTTTTGTTTGAACATATGTTTAAGAAATATATGTTTCACTTGCTAATTCGAATCTGTTTGCTTCTTTTCCTTTCTGTCACTAGCTTCATTGTCATCTGTGTTTATGTGTTTCACATTAAATAAATGAAACGATTACTTATACTTTAAATTCATTTCGTGAGCGACAGATTTGCTGAAGAAGTTGCGTTAAAAGTGGAAACCTTGAAAGTTGTTTGTGTCGGTCCTGTGAAATATAAAAAAAAAAAAGTTGATTTGAAATTGTATAGGGAAAAGGAATTTTCTTCTGTTCGGATCGGTTTTATTTTTCATTAAATATTGTGTTGCGTGAGGAGTAAATTCTAAGCAATAAGTTTTATTGAATACCATAAGTTTTATTGCCATCCCTGTGTTTTATAATAAATAACATGAAATAAACTGCATTAATGTAATGAATTACTGCTTTAGGAATGCCGAATGTCTGATATTTTTTGACAGCAATTACGTGTACTTGCGTCGTCAATAAATTTTTTTTGTAAAGATTTCTGTCCAAAGATTTCCTTTGGTAAAAATAGTCATCTAATTATTAATCATTTTAAAGTTGTTTTTGAGGAATGGCTTTAAAATTGACCGCTAATATCAATAACCCACCTATAAGTAAGTAGGACTTTATAAGCGATGTTATTGAGGTTAAGTTAAAATTTACTTTGCAATTAAAAACATTTATTATTTTCATTTCAGGTGGTTTAGCTATTGCACATTTAATAAATGATTCGATAGCTGTCGACATAGTTTGGGGTAACACTACATCGTTATTGTATCCTGACGGCCGACGTTTTATATGTCACTCCAACAATGATGTGTTACGTGCTTTAGCTCGTGCGGCTCCGGTATCTAAACTCTATGGAGAAACCGCAATTGAAAGAACGCAAATCGATCATTGGTTGTCATTTTCTTTAACATGCGAAGACGACATATCATGGGCATTGAATTTCTTAGATAAATCTATAGCGCCCATTACCTTTTTAGTCGCCAATAAACTGACTATTGCCGATTTTGCCTTATTTAATGAAATGCATTCACGTTACGAATTTCTATCTGGCAAAGGGATACCTAAGCACGTGCAAAGGTGGTATGATTTAATTAATGCGCAATCTACAATACAAGCAGTTTTGCAATCCTTACCTGATGAGGCTAAAGCTTCGGCAAAAAAAGCAAAAAGCGTCTTAAAAAATAAGGAAAAAGAAATTTCTCCCTCAACAAAAACGAATGAGCGGAAGCAGGAAGGCAAATTTGTTGATCTTCCAGGTGCAATAAAAGGAGAGGTGGTAGTTAGATTTCCCCCTGAGGCGTCAGGTTACTTGCATATTGGTCATGCAAAGGCGGCTTTGCTAAATCAATATTACGCTCAAGCTTTCGATGGTAAATTAATAATGCGTTTCGACGACACCAACCCAGCTAAAGAAACTGTAGAATTTGAAAATGTTATATTGCGTGATTTAGAATTGCTACAAATTAAACCCGATTTATTTACGCACACATCTAACTATTTCGATTTAATGCTGCAATATTGTGAGCAATTAATCGTAGAGAGTAAGGCTTACGTTGACGATACGCCATCCGAACAAATGAAGTCGGAGCGTGAACAAAGGTTGGAGTCACAAAATCGCGAAAACGGTAAATAAATTTAAAACGACAAAACGAAGTTTCCAAATTGTTTTTTTTTTTTTTAACAGATGTCTCGAAAAATATAGCTATGTGGCAAGAAATGTTGATTGGTTCAGATTATGGTCAAAAGTGTTGTGTAAGGGCAAAAATTGATATGTCCTCTGCAAATGGTTGTATGCGCGATCCAACTATTTACAGGTGTAAAAAAGAACCCCATCCGCGAGCTGGTACCAAATACAAGTAAGCAAAAGTTTCTTCTTAAAAAAAAAAAAAAATAAATAAATCTTGCCATCACATATTAGAGTGTATCCTACTTACGATTTTGCTTGCCCCATCGTGGATGCCATTGAAAATGTCACACATACTTTACGAACAATGGAATACCATGATCGTGACGAGCAATTTTATTGGTTTATCGACGCTTTAAAACTACGTAGACCTTACATCTGGGAATATAGCCGTCTAAATATGACTAATACAGTACTTTCAAAACGAAAACTCACTTGGTTTGTAGAATCTGGTCTGGTTGATGGCTGGTAATTTATTACTTTCTTAAATATAAACAATATATTACTAAAAAAATGTTTCCAGGGATGATCCTCGCCTCCCCACAGTACGTGGTATTTTAAGACGCGGCATGACCATTGAGGGCCTTAAGGAATTTATCATTGCCCAAGGTTCCAGCAAGTCTGTAGTCTTTATGAATTGGGATAAAATCTGGGCTTTCAATAAGAAAGTCATAGATCCGATCGCTCCTCGTTACACTGCTTTGGAGTATGATAATCGCGTTGTTGTAAATGTCGCAGGAGCTAAAAGTGAACAAATTGAAGTAGCCATTCATCCCAAGAACGATGCTCTAGGAAAAAAAACAGTTACCTTAGGACCAAAGGTGTATATTGATTACGTTGATGCTGAAGCTTTGAAGGAAGGTGAAAATGCTACGTTTATCAATTGGGGCAATTTACTGATTAATAAGATACAAAAAAACTTTATGGGTAAAATTGCCGGCATTAATGCTTCTCTTAACTTGGATAATAAGGACTTTAAAAGAACGCTTAAGTTAACTTGGTTAGCTGTTGAAGATAAGAAAGACGCGTACCCTCAAACTTATTGTGTTTACTTCGACAATATAATTAGTAAAGCCGTCTTAGGTAAAGATGAGGACTTCAAACAATATATTAGTCATAAGACGAGGGTAGGTTCAAAATGACTCGAATTCTAAAAGGAGTAAAAAATAAATGATTTCAATCCACAGGAAGAAGTGCAAATGTTAGGTGATCCCGAGTTGAAGAAATGCAAAAAAGGTGACATTGTACAATTACAAAGACGTGGTTTCTTTAAAGTGGACAATGCTTATCAGCCTGCTAGCCCTTACACTAACGTTGTCTCGCCTGTAATATTATTCTCAATACCAGATGGTCACGCCAAAGATATGCTTTCGTCGGATTTGAAAGTTAACTCCATTTCTAATCAAGACATTAAAAAAACGGTAAGCTTTTTATGTAAGTGAATTGAATTTAATACTCTCTTACTACCTTCAATTATTCTCATGAATAATTTGATCCATGCGTATGTATTCAAATTGGACAAACGTAACAACAATTTGCAGGTCTGGTTTATTCTTTCTGCGATGTGACATGAGCGCAAATTAATGGGAATTTGTTTATATCAATATAAAATATCGAATTTTCTATAGAATGGAGCGAAGGCACCTCTTTATAACTGCGTGGGAAATAGAGGGGAGGCTGATTATTATTTTCACTTTTGAGGTTATTTAATTAAGTTGATCAGCGCAATTCTTAATAACTCTTGTAAACTTTATCCAAAAATTCTATTAAAGTTGAATTTCCTAATTTACGATCGACACATTCGTGCCAATAACTAGACGATTAAGCGCTTTGTGGGAACATCCGATTTCCGTATGTAATCAGCACACAATGTAAAAAATGTGAAGAGCAAAGAGAATACTACGCCTACGCATAAGCCAATCGTTGATTTTTTCAAAAAATTTTTTTCTTTAGTCATATTTTTATGACATATTATAACAGTCATATACGTCTGACGCGTTGTTTTACATTTCGTGTTAGTAGTTAATCTTTAGATTGCTGTGGGTATTGTCAGCAAGATCCTACATTCCTTGTCACTATTCAATAAAAGAAAAAATTTCTAATAAATTTACAAACAACCAAATCACCTAATAGTTCCTCTTTTAAGGAGAATATGATACCCTTTTTTCATCTGTCTTATCATTAGCACACGCGCAATATTCAAGATACTTTCACTTCAAATAATGAAGAATCCACAGCTATTGTTAGTGTCGACCAAGTGCTGGCTAAAATAAGCTCGCAAAATGATAAGATTCGTCAGCTAAAAAGCGGTAAGGCCCAAAAATCAGTCATAGAAGCAGAAGCGAAAATTTTACTTAATTTGAAAACTCAGTATAAACAACTTACTGGAAATGATTGGAAACCAAATATTCCTGCTTTCGAAGCAATTTCAATTAAGACGGAGCCGAATCCCGATCCTCCCCTTGCTGAAGCAATAGGAGAATATTCGAGAAGAATTTATATACAAGGCGATAAAATACGACAGTTGAAAGAGAAAAAAGTTACTAAATCCTTAATTAACTCAGAGATTCATTTATTGCTGGCTTTAAAATCCGATTATAAAAGTCTGACTGGTCAAGATTGGAAGCCAGACGCAGAGCCACTTGTCTCCGGAACGAACATAACGATCGATCTTACCGACTCACGGAATGGTGATGCATCAGAAATTTTGGATAAAATAAAACTACAAGGTGATATAATACGCAAATTAAAAGCCGATAAAGCTCCTAAACCAGAGGTAGATGCGGAAGTGCAAATATTACTATTGCTGAAAGCACAATACAAAACCGTAACCGGCGAAGACTGGACACCAAATGCTACAACAGAAAGCATAACAATGCGTGCTAAAGTAGAATCTGCAATTACAATAACCCCTCTATCCGAGAAAGAACTGCTCACAAAGGAAATCAATGAACAGGGTGAAAAAGTACGCTCGATTAAAGCAAACAAAGCATTTCAAGGGGATGTCGATACAGAAGTTTCAAAATTGTTGGCTTTGAAGGCAAAATACAAAGAGGTTACTGGGACATATTTTCCTACTGCTACTCGTCCAAGTGGCTCAAGTGGATTAAAAAAGCTGGGAGAAAAGAAAGAGCCCCAAAAACCACCTAAAAAGGAAGCATCATCGTCGATCAAAACTGAGTCTGTTAGTGGCACTTTTAAGAAACAAACTCGTCTTGGTTTAGAAGCCACTAAAGAGGATAGTCTTCCCGAATGGTACTCTCAGGTCATTACTAAAGGCGAGCTGATCGAATATTATGACGTCTCTGGTTGTTACATTTTACGTCCATGGTCGTTTGCTATTTGGAAATTCATAAAAAATTGGTTCGATGTAGAAATCACAAAAATGGGCATCAAAGAATGCTATTTTCCAATATTTGTCTCGAAAAGCGTTTTGGAAAGGGAAAAAACTCATATTGCGGATTTTGCACCTGAAGTGGCTTGGGTAACAAAATCTGGTGATTCCGACTTGGCTGAACCCATTGCCGTCCGTCCCACTTCTGAGACCGTCATGTATCCTGCGTTTGCTAAATGGATACAATCATACCGTGACTTACCTATACGCCTTAATCAATGGAATAATGTAGTGCGCTGGGAATTTAAACACCCTCAACCATTCCTACGCACACGCGAATTCCTGTGGCAAGAGGGACACACTGCCTTCGCCACTAAGGTTGAAGCTGATAAAGAAGTGTTAGAAATTCTCGATTTATATGCTCGCATTTACACCGATCTTTTGGCCGTCCCCGTCGTTAAAGGTCGGAAAACTGAGAAAGAAAAATTCGCTGGCGGTGATTACACTACCACCGTGGAAGCCTTTATACCCGCATCCGGCCGCGGTATCCAAGGGGCGACGAGCCATCATCTGGGACAAAACTTTTCAAAAATGTTCGAAATTATCTACGAAGATCCCGAATGTCAACAAAAGCAATATGTCTACCAGAATTCCTGGGGATTGACAACACGTACTATTGGGGTCATGATTATGATACACGCGGATAATCAGGGCCTTGTATTGCCACCGCATGTGGCATGTGTTCAGGCGATTATTGTACCTTGCGGTATAACAGTTAACACGAAGGATGTTGAACGGGCAGATCTAATGGATGCCTGTAAAAAGCTTGAAAAACAATTGAATGGCAAGAGCATACGTTGTGAGGGTGATTATCGTGACAATTATTCCCCAGGATGGAAATTTAATCATTGGGAACTTAAAGGGGTACCCATACGCATTGAGTTGGGACCTAAAGACATGAAAAAGGAACAAATTGTGGCAGTACGCAGAGATACGGGCGAAAAATTGATTTTAGCTATGGATGATGTGGAGAATAAAATTAAACAGCTACTGGAAACTATACATGATAGCATGTTGGCAAAAGCCAGAGCTGATTTAACAAGTCATACTAAGCTTACAAAGAATTGGTCAGATTTTTGCCAATCCTTAGATAGAAAGAATGTTCTGTTGGCTCCATTTTGTAATGAAACTCCATGCGAAGATAAAATTAAGGCCGATAGCGCAAGGTAAGTTTAATCGAGTATTATTATTATTATAATAAATACGTGCCGATTTCGTTGCAGAGACGAGGAAGCTGAGCCTGGTGCTCCAGCTATGGGTGCCAAGTCTTTATGCATACCTTTCGAACAACCAGCTTCTATTACTACGGCTGACAAATGCATTCATCCTGGCTGTACTAATAAACCGAAGTTCTACGCACTTTTTGGTCGTAGCTATTAACTTTGTTTCAAAAACAGAAAAGCAAAGTAAAGAAAAATCATTTATTTATGGAACCAAGAAACTTTTTTACTTTCACAATCGCAACATTGTAATATTTGAGTTGTTCAGGATATAATTAATTCAAAACATGTTCTTGTTTTTACTAATTAAAGTTACTTGTTGAAGTTTTGTACCACTTAATGTAAAAACCTTGCGTTTCAAGCGGTATGGTAGAAAGCGTTTATTACACGGAAAACATCTTTGTTGAATCCCTCTAGGTAAGGACGTCCCATTCTATAACCACACTCTGTAAATAAATCCATATTTGATTCATGGAACCAGTAATTCTTTTCTACGTTCTTTTCCTCCAGAGATAAGGTATTTAGTTGAAATACTCCGAAGTGAAAAACACGACCATCAGTTTGAATACTTTGCACAACAATTGGTTTGGGAAGTTTCTCTAAAGCCGATCCCTAGTATTACAAAATGTTAGAAGATAAATAACTATAAATTTAGAATCTTACGCTATATAATTGCTTAGCTCTTGTAGCTGCCACAGCAAAAGCTTTAAGTAAAGTTCGACTATGAAACTGGGTAGTAGTGACTCCAGTCTCATAAACATTTCCTACAAAATCTTTGTCGAAATGAGTGACTACGGTATGAGGATGCGTGCAACTAATACGATTGCTGAGAGCTATGGGAAAATATTTAGAAGTTTATGACTTTTAACCATCCGATCAACTACTTACGATAAAACGTTTCAGTGGTATATACATGCTTTTTCGGCATTGATATTGTGCACTTCATTGGATATAAATCTGGTAAATCATCGTCATATTTTCCTTTAATTGGTTCAATAGGACGAGCGGCTGTAATGAACTTTTCAGCGGTTACGTCAAATTGTAGTAGAAGATTATCCTTAGGTAAAGTGACTTTAAAATTTACAAGATCTAATAGCCTGCGTCGGGAAGTTAATGAATGACCAGCTAACTTTTCACATTCCGCCAGCAATCTATTGATTAATAAACGGCTGAAAAGTAAATAATTGAGTAATCAAAAATATTACATACAACCGGAAGAAAGTTTACTTTTTTCTCTGATGGGATATACCATAATCTCTGGGTAGCCTGAAAGCTGGCCTTTCCGGTATTTTAACTTTTGGCAGTTTCATTTGTTCTGCATCTAAAACGTGCGAAGACATTGTGGCATTGTAAACACTCCGATCTATATAGCTCGGCAATTGCGACTTCTCAATAGCGTCTCTGACATTCTTCGGCAGCTCTTTTATTTCGACTGTCTTAATTAACACTTGAGCTTGAGATATACCTTCTAATAGTACATTGCCATTCCCATACAAGTGACATAGCTGCTGGTGCCAGTTAGGATGACTTTCACTTTCAGCTTGCTTTGAAGGTACCAAACATTCAAACTCCACGCTATTAATTAGAATTTTAAACACTCAGTAATACTTGTCTTGCTCTCAAAAATTCTTTTACCGTTGACGCTGTGTTTTTGGATTAGCGACTTCCATAATATCTTTCACTTTTATTCCATGATTAGCTAGTTCACTCTCTGCTCCAGTCGGGACTCTTTTACGTTGCACTTCCCACTTTTTTTTGAACATCCAACCCAAATGTTGGGCATACAATTTGTTGGTAAAACGCATTTTTTTTCCCTTAGTCTATATTAATAACAAAAATCTATTTCATGCCATCAGCAATTTAGGGTTGCCTAATTGCTGATATTAATTAAAGCAGGCATGAATATCTTATCTTACTTTTTCCTCTTTGCAATGACAACAAAAATTCTCTTGAATAAATTTCTTTATGAACCGCATTTCGTTTTATAAAAAATGATAATAAAATTCAAGTAGGGAAGTAAAAAAAAAGAAGCTAATCATCAGTCAATAATAAAATATAAACACAACTATTTGGTTGCGCCTCGTTTCATTCTTAATTTATAAACAACCATTTGGTTGCGACTCGTTTTAATTTCAATTTATAAACAGTATCAGTCGGAACTCTTTTACGTTGCACTTCCCACTTTTTTTTAAACATCCAACCCAAATGTTGGGCATGCAAATTGTTGGTAAAACGCATTTTTTTCTTTCCTTAGTTTGTATAACAAAAATCTATTTCATGCCATCAGCAATTTAAGGTAGCCTAATGCTGATATTAATTAAAACAGGCATGTTTTGCAAATATATTATCGATATTTACAAATTTAACTTTTGCTAACTCTTTTCCTATGATTAAGAAAGGGAAGAGAGAGAGATAAAAGTCCAGGTTAAATTTGGTTTTCGTATTTTGTACGAATCAAACTCTATGGCAATTCAAATGGAATCTTGGATTTTGATTGAGTACACGTACGAGCGAATAGATTTTGTGGTATTTTTAAATGCAATCTACTACAAATAGACGCACATCCAAACATTAAAATTTCCGACATCTGAGAGTAAGCGTTTCTTATTCTCGATAATTTGTCTAAAAATTGCCAACATGTGAGAGTGAGCGTATAAAAATGCCTGTAAATATTTTATTGATAATTTCATTATTTTATTATTACAAAAAAAATGGACTTACCGCAATGAGTTCTGTTCAATAGGAAGGAAGCCGAAGAAGATTAAACTGATGTTGAGTTTATACATACGAATGTCGGCATATTACTTGAAACAATTCTGAAAATTTTAGTCCATGTAAACGTAAATGAGTACCAAAAGTTTAAATTTCGAAGTATGCAATTTCTTACTTAGCTAAGAGAAGATTGTTTAAATGAATATCTTATCTTCCTTGTTCCCCTTTGCAATGACAACAAAAATTCTCTTGAATAAATTTCTTTATGAACCGTAAGATATTCTATAATAACTTTTTCTCATATTAATCCCATTGCATTTCGTTTTATAAAAAATGATAATAAAATTCAAGTAGGGAAGTAAAAAAAAAAAGCTGACCATCAGTCAATAATAAAATATAAACATTAAGTATTAATTCATACAAATGACAGATTTGAGAGTTTGCAATGGGCATTGTCATAGTACTGGTAGACGTGAGTTCAATGTTACGATTTTTTTGAATGCTATGATAAAATAACTTAAAATCTAAACTTTAGTCTTGATCGTTGTCGATGGGATGTGCCGGATATCAGCGCATTCTGTAGACATTGTCTTCATGTACTTCAGAGTGTTCGCCTCTAAAATGCACCTCAATATTAAAATCTAAATCTCGTTTATTGCGTTCATTTGGTTTCATTTTAAATATTCCGGTGATCTCTTCGCCTTTCTTAACGGTCAAATAGTCATCAAGATAGAATACTGTTTGCTTCCAATGGGTGTATGTGGCTTCCGGTGAGGTACTGAAGCCCAAACGTTTGTGGCACTTAGTGAATTCGATATTAAAATAGGTGACTAGCGCTTGCACGAAATCATTACGTTTGCAAACTAATTTGAACGGTGACATAAATTGCAAGTCCGCCTTCTTTACGGTATATAAATCAACTTCTTTTACAAGATACGACGTTGATACTACTTGTTTGGGATCAACTACATCTACAAGTGGCTCAGTAATAGCCACTTTACGTATGCAACTCATGTCAAATCCGTACACATCGTCCCACCAATTGATCTTTTCATCCTTATATTGACGATCTTCGATAGCTGTTATGTATAACGTACCACGATCAGGAAACATCATACCTTCAGATTTTAACCATTTATCTCGAGCGAATAAAACGGTATCCAGCATAGACTCATAAAATAAGCAGTAACTAGCGAGATTAATATAAAATTAATATTAAATTAAAATTTCGCCAAATCTTCAATCTTTACCACGTACCCCATCCATTCTGAAATTATTATGTCTACTTTTTCAATGCCATTTGGTAATTCAATTTCCTCAATTTTCCCTTTTACTACTTTAATAATATCGTGGAGATTGTTATCGATGACAACCTGGCGAGCATATTCCACTATATTCGAACAATCAACAGCAATAACCGTAGCAGCACCAGCTTTGGCGGCGAACATAGACAAAATGCCTGTCCCGCACCCTACATCCAATACCACCTTTGTAATTTGAAGAGTTATTTAAAAAATTCGAATTCTTTGCTCCCAGCCACTTACTTTTCCTCTAAATAAATGCTTATTGTGATACATGGCATTCCGATAAGTTATGGTACGCACTTCATCTTTAAGCATTTCTTCGTGTATACCAAAATGTGCATATGAATCAAAGTAATAATCACGAGAAGTCATTTCTTCCGCCAGAGTAGCGCCTTCTGTCGCATTATCGGGTTTCTTCATTACGTTATTGGTTGCATTATTAGCATCATTAGTGGGCTGCATAATTATATCTTCCGACTATTGAAAAAGAAAAGTACTTAAAAATGTGAAATTATAATGAGAGGCAAGGAAAACGTTTTTTCGATATGCCTCTCATTCACTGTAGGTGATGATTTACCATGTTCATTAAAAAAAACTAAATAATTTGTTATAAGTATAAATAAATTTTTTAGCACTTATTATGGAAAAATTATAAAAGCTTTTTATATAAAATAATTAACTTCGTTTTTCTTTCGATAATTTTACAAAAAAAAACCAATGCCACCGTTTTGTCTTTTATTAAAAGCGGTTTTTCTTACATACCGCATGTCATAAGTGCTGCCACTAAATGTAAAAGTTTAATCATATGATTACCATTTCATGTGGAGATTTAAAAAATAGGCGTAATTATTTGAATCAAATACTTACATAACTTTAATTTTTTAATTTATAAACCATGTTTTCATTGACAATAAAGACATTTCAAATCTAGAAGGGATTTGAGTTAAATTTTTAATAAATGAAATTGTAAAAGACTAATTAGTTTTTTTAGTGTAAACTGAATGCGCTCTTTAATAATTTTGGTAATGTCAATTCAATTATTTATAAGAGTAAACATCCGTTCTAATTTTTATGGTGACGAAAGCATATCAAAAACTCATTAAAAGTAGGAAATGTCTAAACTTTAACAGATCTGACCAGGAAGTTTCTAAAGTTTAACAGATTTGAGGAAGAGATTTTCGCCATATCAGGTATGCATCATGGGCAAAAATTTTGGTTTAGTTTGTTTCCTATTATAACCAGTTAATAAAGTGAATAATTAATGGATTCGATAGCTTTTATTAAATCAATAGAGAAAAAAATTGCCTGCGCATTAACAAAACAATTTTCTCCATGGACAAGCATAAGCAAAATATTAAATTAGAAGCAAATTTTTTTTTATTACGTATAAGGTTTAGGGAACCAAAGATAATTAAGTAGTTATTTAATTGTGCAGCTAGGACAAATCTTCGTCTCTTGTTAATTTTTTGAAAAATTTTTTTTTTATTTTCGACGTTTACAAATTTTATACAAATTGACAAATCTTATGCTTTTACATGTGTACATATAAATAAAACACAAATACCTACAAGAAGTAATGATGATCGTTTCTTTTAAATTTTGAGGTTATTTGTCTAATTTATATTTATATTATATTAATGTGCATTTCTTTGTGATTTGCACTTTTGCTTTACACGATTCATAATTTTATAAGAAATGAGAGGCAAGCAATAAAATTGAAATTGCTCTATTAGATTTATAAATGGTAATTTCCAAATGATGGATCGATTAATATACAAAAAGACTTTCGATGTTGTCACAAAACTTAAGTAAACTATGAAGATTAACAAAATTATTTTTTATAAATTTGTTGTTTATGTTAATGTTATGTTATTAATTTATTTATTTTTGGTTCTAACTTTATGTTTTTGTTTACATTTTCTTTTAAAACAATAATGTAGCAAGTGTTCACCACTTGGGAGTTTTAAGTACGCCTTATTGTGTCCTGAGAATAAAATTTGGTAGTCAATTCTAAGTAATCTGGTAACACTAAATTCATCATTGAAGGCGATTTTGGCGGCAAATAGCTTTCCTAAGTAACCAATGCAGAGTTTAAAACTTTGTCACTGCACCAAAAAGTTGCGAATAAGGGATCGTAAAAAAGTTCTGAAGCGGTTTAAAAATGGAGGGTTTCGATGAGGCAGGTATATTCTTTTCCGATAATTTGTTTGGTGATTGTCCACAACAAGATGGTAACCAAATTAATATGCAAGCAGTTAAGAAAAAGTATAAGGAGTTCCTGCGTACATTTAATGAAGACAACTTTTTCTATAAATACCGGTAAGTGTAACCGATTTTTTAATTTCTTGATTTTTGTTCAATATTTCCTATTCTTCTTCACAGTGACACTTTAAAGAGAAATTATCTGAATGGTCGTTATTTTCTGGAAGTGGAAATAGAAGATTTGGCTGGTTTCGATGAATCTTTGGCGGACAAGCTTACGAAACAACCTACAGAACATTTGCAAATATTTGAAGAGGCCGCTCTTGAGGTAGCGGATGAAATAACTGCTCCCCGTCCTGATACCGAGGAGCAAATACACGATGTACAAATTCTATTAATGTCGAATGCGATTCCGACGAATGTCAGAGACTTGAAATCAGATTGTGTTTCTCGTTTGGTTAAGATAGCTGGTATTATAGTTTCTGCCTCTGGTATTAAAGCCAAAGCAACTCGCATCTCGATTATGTGCCGATCTTGCAGTGTCGTTATACCAAATTTGAAAATTAATCCTGGCTTAGAAGGTTACATGCTACCACGAAAATGCACAACTGAACAAGCTGGCCGTCCACGCTGCCCGTTGGATCCATTCTTTATTATGCCAGAAAAGTGTAGGTGCGTCGATTTCCAAATATTAAAATTGCAAGAATTGCCTGACTTTGTTCCGCAAGGTGAAATACCCAGGCATTTACAATTGTTTTGTGATCGTTCTTTGTGCGAACGTGTTGTCCCCGGTAACCGAGTATTGATTCAGGGAATTTATTCCATTCGGAAAGTAGCCAAACCTACGCGTCAGGATGGCCGTGAGAAGTCAGTAGTAGGTGTTAGGGCTCCATATATGCGAGTAGTGGGCATCGCTGTGGATACTGAAGGATCGGGAGCTATATCTCGTTACAGTAATATAACTAGTGAGGAAGAGGAGACATTTCGTTGTATGGCCGCTTCTCCAAATTTATATGATCGTTTAGCAAAGTCATTAGCTCCAAGTATATTCGGTTCGCATGATATAAAAAGGGCAATTACTTGCATGCTGTTTGGCGGATCGCGTAAACGTTTGCCCGATGGTTTATGCAGACGTGGGGATATTAATGTTTTGTTACTGGGCGATCCCGGCACGGCTAAATCACAATTACTAAAATTTGTTGAGAAAGTGGCCCCTATTGGAATTTACACTTCAGGCAAAGGTTCTAGTGCTGCAGGTTTAACGGCGTCAGTGACGAGAGATCCATCAACGGTAAATTTACTTTTCGGAATATCATATAATTGACTTTCAAATGTAAGGACTTATGACGGTAACTTATTGTATTTGTTTCGTCTCTTCATTAAATTTTAGCGAAACTTTGTTATGGAAGGTGGTGCTATGGTTCTAGCTGATGGTGGTATTGTTTGCATTGATGAATTTGATAAAATGAGAGAAGATGACCGTGTCGCCATTCATGAAGCTATGGAACAACAAACAATTTCTATAGCTAAAGCAGGCATTACCACAACGCTGAATTCTCGTTGCTCAGTTTTAGCTGCAGCCAATTCAATATTTGGTCGATGGGATGAAACTAAGGGAGAAGAAAACATTGATTTCATGCCCACCATTTTGTCGCGTTTCGATATGATTTTTATTATCAAGGATATCCACGATGAAGCGCGTGACATTACAATGGCTAAGCATATCATAAATGTTCATCTTTCGTCAAATAAGTCTGCACCCAATGAACCTGCAGAAGGTGAAATATCATTGCCATTATTCAAAAAATATATATACTATTGCCGGACACATTGCGGACCGCGATTAAGTGAAGAGGCTGGTGAAAAATTGAAAAATCGTTACGTTTTAATGCGAAACGGAGCGGGCCAGCATGAGAAATCCTCTGATAAACGTTTAAGTATCCCGATCACAGTTCGACAATTAGAAGCGATTATACGGATAACAGAATCTTTAGCCAAAATGAGTTTACTACCGTTTGCTACAGATGAGCATATTAATGAAGCTTTACGACTCTTTCAAGTGTCCACTCTTGATGCAGCGATGACTGGCAGCTTGGCTGGCGCTGAGGGGTTCACCACCGAAGAAGATCAAGAGACCTTAAATCGTATAGAGAAACAATTGAAACGTCGTTTTGCTATTGGTTCTCAAGTGTCCGAGCAGAATATAATACAAGTAATGGAAATGAAAGTATAAATTTGATTTATATTTGATTTATATTTTTTGTTTCTCTCTCTAAAGGACTTTTTAAAGCAAAAGTATGAGGAGCGAACCATCTTAAAGGTGATTCATACTATGATACGACGCGGAGAATTGCAACATCGTATGCAACGTAAAATGTTATATCGTTTATGTTAAATGCTTTTTCTTTTTTTTTCTTTTTTGAATAAATTTTTTTCTTTCATCAATACCTATTGTAAATTGTTTTAAAACAATAATTTGTTTATACTCTGTTATGAATGTGTTGTTTTGATTTAATTATGAGAACAATTCTTTTGTATTCACAATTTTTAAACAAAAAGCAATTACAGGGACTGATAGATTTGTGAAAAAGAAATGGATTCATGGATTTTTTCTTTTCTTTTCTCTAAAGCAATAATTGATTAGATGTTAGATAAGTAAAATCGAGGCTGCTTCAAATACTGCCTTTCAATTTTTTAGCTATTTTGGGATTTTGTGGCGAAACATTGCATCTCCACTCTTTCTTTTGTTGTATTCTATAGCAGAGAAAAAAATTTAAGCTAACATTCGGCTTGTAATGGGATTATTGTTAAAGTAAGCTGGGAAGAAGATTTTTTTTTTTTTGTTCATCACGATTAATCAATCTATTAATGCGCGCACATTTATTGAAAACAGGTAAAAACATTTAAGTCGGATCATGGCCGACCCTTGGTTGCCCAACACCATTTCATTTGATAGGGGTATTCATAACACCTCATGTTTTTATACCCTACAGAGAATATTAACACCTTATGAAGATCAATCCTTACAATTGCAATAAGGAGTGAAGAAAAATGTCTTTAAAGGAAGGGGCACGAAAAAGGATTTCACTGACGCGGTTACATAAACAAAAGAAAATCTTTGGATTCAACAAATATATTTAAAATTGGGAATAAACAATCTTTATTGATTGTTTTTCATTCCTTACAAAATATAATGAGTATGAACGAAAATTTCAAATTGGACAAACTAAAAAAGGTTAGAATTTCGTTTTGTTTTATTTGTTTGTATCCGTGCAAAACCAGTTTAAGACTTTTTAAGACTGTTTAATAAGATTTTATATGCTTTCGATCTGGAATTTTGCTCTTTTTTCAAAGTGGTTACAGGTGTTAATATGTGTGTAATTTTCCATATTTCATTGTCAAAATTGTTTGACGCTTTGATAAATGAGAAACTTTCTCATTGAAGCTGTTAAGGTAGCAAAAATTTTTGGCACACGAGCTAATGCTAATGTATCCTCGTACTTTGAAGTAATTTAGCGAATATTGCCGTTATAATTTGCTTGAAGCAACAATTTAGAATATTTGCAAACTTAAACCATACGAAAGCATTTACGAACACCAATATTGCAACAGTCTTTGATAATAACTTTTCAACGTCCAGAAAAATATATATAAGTTTAGAAAGGTTCGGAACTTTAAGCATAACAAGAAGAAAGGCGCAATAAAAATCTAATGTTTGAGAAAAGGAGCTCCGCCAGAAAATAAAACCACAAAAGGATACAATTTGCAATTTTTAATTAATTGAATTAGCATAAATTTATCAGTAGTTTTTTACCAAAGAAATCAACGTAGGGTAATATTCGCCCCACCTCACACACACACATAGACGAACCGATTTAGTTAAAAAAATTGCTTGGAAAGGCATAGGGACTGTTAACACTGTTGTTTAATGACATTTTATATACTTTCGATCCGGAATTTCGCTATTTTTTGAAAGTGTTTACAACTGTTTACAACTGTTTAATAAGTTCATTATATCGTGTTCCTAAAAACAACCAAGCGAAATCAACATTAGTATTAATTGCAACATTAGTGTAATTTTACGAAAGCTATATCTGTCCTTGGAATTCCTCCACAGTACCAATTTTAGCTTCGCCGGCATCAAGAAAAAGGTCGCGCAAATGTTCAACTTGCTTTATGAACGGAGTTATGATGCCAATGGATTCCGGTTTAATATCCTTACGATACAATTTGACTGTCATTAGGAAAACCTTCAAAAATGAAATAAATGTTATAAAATACTAAATAGAAGGGATTCTGCTTTTAAACTAAATACAACTTACGTGCTTCGCTTCGTAAGGATTATACCACGACAGCGAGTCTTTTTCCTGCATATCTTTACTACGCATTAATTTGAAAAGGATTGCGAAGATGGAATGGACGTTTGCGCTAAAATTGATACAGCTATGAGTGATTTAAAAAGCATGCCAAAACTGCATTGAATTAGGAAAAATTGGTTAAAAGATCATTTTCATTTATTTTTTGAAATTCTACTGATTTTACGGACTCGCGATGGTCAAGTATTAGGTCGATTATTTGGGCCTGTGAGCACCAAGCATTACAGATATGACGTTGAAGGTATTTTTATGATAACACCGTTAGCTACACCAGATGCCGCGATAATGACTACATATTCCGAGCTACCACTGAAACGCCAAGTGACGTGCGATAACTTAAAATCTCCCAACGCCGTATTCCACTCCCCGGAGTTTGGGTTAATGAAGTAAAGGATTAAAAACATATTTTGCTTAGCAGTTTTCACGCGAACGGCAATAAATTGAGGAGTTCGAGCTTCAAGCATATACGACTGAGAAACAATTATGATGTCAAGTAAAATACCGCTTGCAGCTCGATCTAATCGAATTTAGAGTTAGAAACTAATACAAAAAAAAACCCGACGATCACATTCTATCCAGATATGCGTAAAAGCCATGCGAGAAAATGTTCCCCGCTTGTTACCAAGATTATATTTGTCGCGCGTAATGCGATTGTGCTGTACATGTATGTCATTACAAGGTTGCTTGGTTTCTGTGTGATGAGATGTCAATAATTTCAGAAACAAGCGCGCATAAATATAATTTATAGCACTAACATATAATTTAAATTAAGGATTTAAATTTTTACTTTTAGCGAAATTGTGTGAATCGAATTTTTATCCTTAAAGCATTTGCACACTTACCCTATATATATGATAAGATAGATCCACGTTTTCATGTTCATATATGCCTATAAGCAATGGTGGAATTTCATTTCCTCTCAAGAATGTAACCATTTCACATTAAGGTACAGGATCGTTAAGCTCCCTATCCCTAAGCGTTAACGTTGCGATAAGAGCATCTCCAGTTGGTTTTCCGTGGAGTGTAATAGACAGTGTAGTGGGGGAAAAAAAAAGAAAAGGAAACTTTGGCAACTTTGGCAAAGCGACAAGCGGCGCGAAGAAAAAAGAAACTTTGGCAACTTTGGTAGAAAAAAGAGGAAAAAAAGAGGAAGAAAAAATGGGGCTTTCGTTAGAATATTGCTTGTAAATTTTTTTTGGAATAAAATGAAAATACATGCTGGGCTATCGCTACTTCAAGACAAATAATTTCAGTGAATGATAAGGAAAGTGAATTTATAAGAATTAGAGAAAGAATAAATCCCGAATAGTTTTATTGGAAAAATATGAAAAAAATTGCAAACTGAAAAGGCTTTGATAATTTTAGTAAAGCCGGAATAATTGGAACGCTGTTCATTGCTCACATACGAAAGCACAAGGTCACTAAGGTCAAGGAATTTTGAAGTTATACATAAGTGCAAAAAGAAAAAGAACAAAATCAAGAAGTACTAACGTTCGCGTCAGAGGGCTGGAATCAACGATCGCTAGGTTGTGGCCATTAAAAATTGGAGGATGAATGTGCACTTCATTAATGCAAATGAGAAGGAGAAAACTTTTAACAAAGAAACGTGTAAATTGATTTAGCTAAATTGTTGGTCGGCTGCGGGTGTTGCACGAGAGACCTTTAAATAAAAAGAGATTAATTGAAATTAAAGAAAAGATAGCTATTTATGTTAAACCAGGGAACAATATAAGAGTTTTTTTAATTTTTTTTATAAAAAAAAAACCGACAGACAATGTCTTCGTACATTTTTAAGAACTGTGTCTTATAAAAAGGGTAGAAAATCTCAAAGCCCAAGAAAAAAAAAAAGAAAAGAGAGGGGAAAAATTGACAAGCTAATTTACAAGAAGGAGTGTAAAACCCGAAAGAGTCAATAAAATGTTAAACGAGCATTCCTCTCCACACCGGTTTGTGCGTGGTATCTCTAAGTGTTCGAAACAATAATTGACATTTCTTTTGAGTTATATTTCATAAATATTAAACAATTTTTTTTTTTAATTTTAAAACCTATAATTTGGTAACCAACCTTTTAGCTGCGCCGATGCGCATCTACGTGGTTGTTAGTTTTGGTAAGTTTATTTATAAAATCGATTAATAACCATTGTTCATTTTGAAAATTTTGTTTTGAAATATTGAATTAAAACATTATAACACTTTCTTTGGAAAATAAAATAAAAGAAATGTATTATTATTAAAGGTTAAATCACTGATAAGACTTCCTGTGGATGACGGAGGGGCGAGGTAAAAGTAATAAAGTTAGGGCGTGGATTAAATTAGTCAAAAGTTTTGAATTTTATTAGGAAGCATGTTTTATTTAAAATAATGAAATTTTGTTGCGAAGGAAGAACCTAGCACGTATCTGAATGCATTTTATTTGGACACACCCCATCCGACGAGCCAGGCCGGAAAACATGCGAACAAAAAGAAAGGTAAAAATAACCAAGAACATCCGTGCATAGGTTGAATTCTCTAAACGTTACAGGGGATTAAAATAAGTGTCAGCAAATTCCATTATGTCATTAAACACACCATTTTTGCGTATGGCTTTTGTTAGTTCAGCTATCTTCCGACGTATTCTAAGACATTTTCCCGCCCTATATTTTCTTCGCTTTGTACGATCAATATGTTGTTGAAAATTTGTATCGGCGGATTATTGGTGCCAGTAGGAAAGCCGGGTCATGTATCATTCTAAAAATTGTTCGGGCTTGCAACTTGGAAGTTGTTAAACTAATGCCGTTCCAATTAATTATATTTTATAAAAAACAATGTATGCAGGGAAAGTCGTTTTGCCTTATATATTGGATCACCTTTATATCCAGCTCACTTTTTTTTATAATTTTTACGAAATGTTCGCGAAGTACGAAATAATTAATTAATTAATAAGTACGAAAGAGAAAGAACGTACATTGCCGCTAATTAACAGCTCCACTGCTAATACTGCCTGGAGTTCCTAAGAAATTAAAATTTTCTATTTTGAACGAAATGTATCAACGTTTTATCATTTGTTTGTCTGCTTTACCGCTTTACTTGAAAAAATGCAAGTCGCGTTGGAGAATTTAATTAGTATGGAAATTCCGCATATTCGACAGCGAAATTATCAGTTACCTGGTTATTTACAGTAATGATATGCATTCGACGCTGTCTATTATACTCTATGTAATAAGCAGAAAATTTCCCATATGGCGCTATGTTTGAGAAGCCGTCTATGAAAACAAATTTTTGTTTTGCTTTGCTGTCGAGGAAAGAGAAACATTGCATACACATAATTGAGCGAAGCATATATGATCATCGTTTTAACCTACATACACATTTACACTATTGCTCATATGCAATTAAAAACATTACAATCCGTACACTTTCGCTTTTGTAAAAATACGATAAATTTTCATAGTTTGATAGCATAATGGATATTTCATGTCGCCAGAAACTGAGCTAAAAAAATGGAAAGTTTCTTTTTCCAGAGACATGGAAATTTTTATGCACACGCATCTCACTAGATCTGCTATTGAAATAATAATATTAATACGCTTACGCATATTCTTAATTAGGATAAAATATGGCAAAAAGATTATATTCAACTCATTGCCAATGGGAAAAATTTCTTTTCCCTAAATATATTCCAACAAGTGGAAATGTTCCAAAATGATCAAATACCAAAGAGCTGTCATAAGCACTTTTTTTATTTACTTGGTTACTGCAATCCTCTTCTCTAAAATTAAATCTAATAAATTTATCTAACATAAATTCTCTCATAATTCTATTGGAATCACCCCACCTAGGAAATTAGTAAATTATTTTTAAGCACGTCATGTATCCTACTTTAATTAAATTCTAATTTTTTTCATGTTCTAATCTTAAATTACAAAATTTGTTGATTACTTCTTGGATAGTCACGAATCTTTCATCGATTTCCGATTTAATTTGCAATATCATGAGAATAAAGTACGTGGCTGCTTTCATTTTGTTAAGATATGATTCTTTTATGTTGTAATTTAATATTCTATCTTTTTGAGATAAAAAGCGCTCTAAATAATAAAACTCATCGAGATAAAGGCAACTAGATATTCTTTTTCTGCAGTTTATTGGCAAACTTTTATCAAGGGCAGCTGAAGATTTGTTTTGTGTTAAACTGAATTTACAAGCATTAAGCTGAGCATTGAGCACAAAAATAAGATTTTGGTTGCAAAAAGAAGTTAAAAATAAAATCAAAGGACTTTTGTGAATGTTAATCTCAATATCAAACCTACTTTCAATAAAAAGTACTGCATGAATGCTCATTCGTCTCCAAAAATAAGTGTTTTTTTTTACAAAGATTTTGTCAGCTATTTTAAGTAACATTGTTAAAGATTAGAAGGAGAAATCGTGTATTATATACAGAAAAGTGGAGGTAAATGTTTTATTATATATTTATATTTATATATTACTTATTTACTTTCTCATACTTTAGTTTAGCTTAAAAAGGAACTAAGTGCCGCCATCCACTGCCTCATACAGTGAAGATTCGCTGTATGTGTAAGAAAGCATTATAATCAGCAGAGGGAAACTCATGAAAAAGGGGGTACCTGATGTATTGGCGGCAGCGCGTAGTGTTTTGAATGATTGGAACACCGGAAAAATTAAATATTGCACTGAGCCACCTGAGGAGAAATGTGATGATCCACACATCAGTGCAGCCATTGTTCACGAAGATGCTCTTGCATTTAACGTTGACGGTTTTGAAGCTATGGAAACTGAGATTCTTAATAAATTCAATGTGAAAGAGCAAGATGTCATGAAACTCGATAGTACTGGACCAGTTGAAAGTAAAATCCGCGAATGTGGCGTAGAGGATGATAAGGAAGAATATGACGCCGTTATTAATGAAACGAGCGTATCAAATAAGAGACGGAAATGTAATTTAGAAGAAAACGTAAAAAATCAACAACAAGAATGCCCAAAGAATTGGTGAGTCAGCTTCTTGCTTTTGAAGATATTGTAAACAAAATTTTCATTTCTCGTTTCTTTCTATAGGTAATCAAACCTTGAATAGAAGTTTGAAGCAACAAATGAAGAAACGCAAAAAACAAAGCGCTTGTAATGAAAAGAAAGTGAACAAGATAGCTCAAGTACTAGATGGCTTTACCTTAAATACTTCGAATGACGAAAAGTACGATTTTGATACAGATTACGTGATTGAATAAAGGGCTTCTAGCGGATTTTATAAATTCTTGAGAACATACATATGGCTTTACTAGAAATATACATGACCTTATAGAACAAATGCGTATTTATTTTAAGATGTTTGGCGAATGTTAAAAATTTTTTCAGAGGTAAGAAAGTTTCTAATTTGTGCAACTCCAGATAAAGTCTCCTTTTTTCAAAATCTCCCGCGACTAAGACAAATCCAAACATTTTTAGGTCAGCTGGCATGTATAAAACAACGCGCTTTGTAGGTGTGTTAGTATCAAATGCGTTTAAATCGACAAATGCGCTTTAGAAACGTCCATTTCCTTCTCATGGAAATTGGTCCCGTAGACCATTCTTTAAAGATTGTATAGGAGAACTATATTTTACCGACGCTGTTATTTGAAGTTTGAAGAGTGTTTGTATACGGGCTAAACGAAATGTGAAAATTATTTTTTTTTTTGCTGTGCGGGTGACTGGGTGTTATGGTAGGTAGGCAAGGACGATTTTTCTGATGAGTAGTAAGCCGTTCAAAAAAAGATTTAATTTTATGGTGAAAAATAAGTGTAAACAAAAATGTATTCATGCATTTATTGAAAAATAAAAGTAATAATATACATTATAAATAAACACCAAAAAAAGCTATAACTATAAAGTATTTGAATAGCAAAAAGATACAAGAAACCATGGATAAGAAAAATACATTCAAATGTCATTAATTAAATAAAATGCGAAAAAATAGCAAAACTAATTATAATAAAATAATAATTTCTCGCTTCTCTAGTATATATTATCCAGCCAATTAGTATTTATAGCGATAGGTGGCTACACCAACAACGCCTGTACGCGTTGACCTCTTGACAAAATGAAGCAAACATTTTAACACTCTTAGGCGACCGCAAACGAAACAATATTTGTGGCCTTTTTTTTGGAAATAATGGACGAGACTAGCTAGGAAGAGATGAGAGGTTCTACGAAAAAATGGATAAGATTTTTATCGTGAATAGTTTTATACAGGGTGCATTTTTTGTAATTACTTAAACGTGTCGCCCATATAATTATATGGATTTTTGTTAATGGCCTACGTATGGCTTTGAAGCGGTTATATGAATTTTTGTTTGTTTTCAAAAAGAAAACCTATAAGAAAATTATATTTGCGCTTGCTTACGAATCCGTTCTATCCTTTACTCCTATCCTACAAAATATTGAAAAAAAAGGTAAAAAAAATATATATTTTCACCTTCAATGATATTGGGTGGGCGTGGCCGATTTTTTTCATTTTTGTAAAATGGGTGCGGCTGTTGCAGTTTATAAGCAACGATCAAAAGGCACGGAAAGCAAAGGTATTCTCAGTTTTAGTGTTGGGTGTTGTAGGCGTGCCCTTTGATCTGCTTGGGCCGTTTTCAAACTCATTTGTAAATTTGTAGGCGATGTCGTCTTCTTGGCGAATAGTAGACTGTGTATTAAAGATACTATATAGCTTACATGTAGGCAGATAGACGGATTAACAGACGGGAAGATGGACGGATGGATCCATAATTTTTTATCCATCATAAAATATGGGACAATGGATTCGGAAAATATACCCACACGCTCCAAGCTTAAAACCCTCTCTTTATATCTAGAAGCAAGATTTCCGCTTCACTAGTTATTTCTTCTTCATCATTATATAGTAGATTGGTCTCCATATCTTGATTTTTAAGCAAAATCTTTTTATTTATTTCTATTTTTGTTTTTCTTTCAGGAAGTTTTCATTCACTCTAGGAAGTTAAATTACGATCACATTAAAGACCACCATCTTTTTCCCTTCTTTCTTTTTCTTTTCTCAGGAAATTGGTTCCAGTTTTTTTCCTCAATGACAAACCTCTCTCCACGAGTAAAATTAGCGAGCTTTCTATTACAGGATTGTATTTGTAATAGCTCTCACATTATACGACCGTGTGTTACAAAGCTTTAAATATAATCCAGATACGTACAGTGGAGTTCATTATTGGCCAGCGACGAATCACTAGGATTATATTTATGTTTTTTAATATTAGAAATCATGCTAGTTAGTTGAGTAGAGCTACAATGAAGCAGCAATCTTGTGACAACCCAGTATTGAAATGATCTTTTTTCGAATCTCTGCAACGACACGTTTAGGGAAGCTGCAAATGCATGAAAGAATCTGACAATAGATGGAGAATGTAAGAAAAGCTTGCCTTCATATCCGCAGATTAGCGCATTATATTCTTTTTCGCATGGCGAGAGGCAGCAAAACGATTTTCTTTCAATTTTGTATGGTTTCTTATGGATATGTAGAGGAGTGCTTTCGGATCAATTATCCTTCGTCAAGACAATAACGCAAGCAAGAACGCAAGCAACCTTTCTTTGAGATCAATAAGTTGATTTTATTTTGCACTTTTGCTTGGAAGATTGGGATTAACTAAATACTTCTTTTTTTCCCGTCTGACATTTATGTCCGACCATTAATTGTCTTAAGATTCTGATGTAGTAAAACTATTTGGGACTCGAGGGAAAATTCTACGCTAAAAATCTACATGATGTCGATCGCATAAATCTCATCTGGTAAGATTCGATCGCAGTATAGTCAGCATGTTACACCCGGATATAGACAAATTGGGTAGAATTGGCTGATCGATTCAATAGTACCGTGTGCAAGAATACACCATTTAGTGATCGGTTGAAACACTCCTCGTGTTAACATGTTAAATATAAATGCGAATTTTAGAAACAGATGGCGCACCAGCGCAGAGTATAGTATAAATATTTAATATAACGGGCCTTTTGTTTGCGCATCAACAAACGTCGTCGTGTAATGTGAGGGCGTGTAACTAATAAATTGAAAAAGTGTTTGTGTAGCCTACTTAAAGTTGTGCCAAATAAACCGTACTCAGCTTCCTTTGTTTTTGGTCGACCGACACAAAAGGATATCATTCTTGCCCGCATCGCTTCTGAGGACAAATATGAATTAATTTTAAGAAGCCCAAGTGCGGAAGATTATGGGTAGAAGGTATGAGCAAGGCAGTGAGACTAAAAGGGAGTTGTCTATAATGGAATGCATAGTATGGTCAGGGGTGAGACTTACACTTGTTATGTTGCGGCCTTTCAAAGCATTAATGAGCGAAGATTTGCCAACGTTAGGATATCCAATTAATATACCTGCGTATAAGGGGAGTAGCGTATAAAAATTGATCATGTGTGATAGATCTTAGAATTACATCGATAAGTTCGAACGGTTCATCGCCATTGAAATCGTGAATGTACACCATTGTTTGTGCGAGTGTAAGATATTAATTTTCAATTTTTAACATACGATTCGACGAAACACAGACGTCATAATCGATCGCACGCTTGTAAAGACATGCACATTTTCATGTCTGTCTTTTTGTCTCTTAATACGAATAATGCCTTCATCTTAATGCTGAATATCTGCCAACTTATGAGTACTTTTTTTTTCAATAATTGCCATGTACGTAGGTATTTTTGCATGTGTGGCTTATTAATAGTTTTTGTTTCAAAGATATTACGCAAATATTGTAGTCATTTACATTCATATCCTTGCTTCTGTGTTTTACTAATAAACGTGCATATATCTTATATCTATTATATATGCATCTGTATAATAATTTGTTGCTGCCGTCAAGATGTTCAATTAACTTGAATTTAGAAAATCAAGTTGATGGTAAGCACTTTAATTGCAATTTTAATTCGTTCGGGAGAATCCCTCACGTGACTATACAAGTGATTTTTAAGACAGCTTTCTAACATTTTCTCACTTAATACAAGACCTTACAATTTTCCAGCAAAGCGAAATTATTATGAATTATTAATCTTAGTCAAGATCAAGGTTCGCTCTCCTCACACCGAATTTTTTTGATCTACCACAAAAAGAAAGAAAAAAGGATAAAAAGCAAAAGTATAACCTCACAATTTTCAAATAAAGCTAACCTGTTAAACAAAATAAAAAAAATTCAAAACGCAACGTGTTTTGTCATAACTTTTATACTTATCAATGGTCTTGGTATAAAAATGCAACGCACCCATCTTCCAGGATTCATTAGGATAGGCAATTGTCGCTGGTGAAGAAAAGATTTTTAAAGAAAGCTTAAAGCCGTATCATCTCAAAGATTATTCTTCATATTAGAATGGATCTTTCCGGGAAGAATGTTGTATTTGTAGCTGGATTTGGTGGCATTGGCACCGAACCTTGTAAGCAATAATGACATAATTTAGCGGTAAGTTTATACTCAGCTATCCGTTCTTGTTTTCTTTTTTACTTTTTTTTGGTTTTGTATTTGGAACTTACATTTTTTGTCTTTTTAAGACTCCAGCAATTTTGGATTTAAAAGAAAATACCGAAGATTTAAAACTTCTGCGACATATAAATCGGAAAACTAATGTATTTTATGTGCGCATCGGTGTTACTGAAAAGGAGTCGATATAAGCTGCTATCACCTTTGTTGTCTGTCAAATGTATCGACGCATTAGTTAATGGAGCTATTTCATCGGATCCAAATATTAAAGCAACTGTTAATGTAAGTCTATTAGGTTTGATTAATACGACTGCGATAGCTTTACTTTACATGGATAAAACTCAACACAGACGAGGTGGTTTGATATTAAACATTGCTTCCGTTTTAGGTTTCGAGCCTTGTGCTCCGCTCGTTATAATAATATATAATATGGTATATAGCAGTTCGAAATTTGGTGTGATCGGCTTCCCTCTTTCTATGAGTGTGCGTAGTTATCAGATTTTTATTATATATATAAATCATTCTTTATCTAGTATCCATATTCTCTTGAGCGTACTGTTGTTGCAATGACAGCAATTTGTCCAGGCATCACCAATGGTACTTGAGTGAATTCTTTAAGGATGATAGTAAATTGCGTTTAGTAGAACTTAAAGTTTTTTGGGAGTTTTGAAGATTTGTAAAATAATATTTTTATTGACGCATATATTTGCTGATCGATAAACCCAAATCTTATTTTGTTTTGCAATTCTCGAAAAGATTATAATCAATATTTAAAAAAAAATGTTTTTTTTAATATATTTTTTTTGCCTTTTGTACAGTCACAAATTGACATTTGTGCTTGCGTAGTTTAGGTCGCTTATGGTTACTTATGAACAAGACGGCGTAAGACATAGTAGGTGTATGTGCCTGCGTGGATTTATTCTTCTTTTCTTGTTTGCTTTTATGTTCGCCTTGACATGTTTTTTTTTTTTGGTGTTTAATTTTCTTTTACGGAAGTTGCATTTTATAACATTATCAGACGTTGTCATATTTTATATTTTATCATATATAATCAACTTTCAATTCTTGATTGATGCCAGTCTTCTGATCGTATCATTTCTTACATTTTATTTATCATCTAAAGTTAGATCACAATTATTATCTAGTTTTCTTCCTTACACTCATTTGTATTACAATAGAATGGCGACCAACCAAAGCGTCATTATTGAAAGTTTTCTCTCGTTTAATTTCTTGTGTAATTATAATTAATTACGTTTTTTACTATGCATTAATAATGCCATCAATAACTTAACAAACCGTAAAAAGCTTTTGTTTTTTTTTGTTTTCTTTCGATTTCCTCTAAATTCAAATAATTTTTCAAGTTTATGTATGCGCACGATTACAATTCGTTTGACTGTGGAAAACTATAAAATTTTCCAAATTATTACATTTTTATGGCGTAATTTTAAAATTAACAACAATGAATAAACCAACACATACCCACAAAGAAATCGAGAGATGTATACGCATATTTATATATAAAAGCTATAACGTGAAAAAAAGCAAAGCAAAAAAGGAGGAAAAGCACAAAATTTGCATTCGCTTCGAAGCACGAACTTTGAATACCCCAAAACTCAAGAAAATATCAAAATTGGTTAATAGGCTTTTTAATTTAGTCCCCAACAGCGAAATGATGATTTTTGATAAATATTTTTATTAAATTTTAGATGGGTAGCAATTATTGGATTGTAAATTGTTTATTGATAGTTAGATTTTGAAATTTTTGTTTTTAAAATTTTCTTGCTTGAATACTTTTTACTTTAGGAAATGAAATAAATATAAATATGCGTCAATTCACGGTTTTTCTAATACTCTTGTCCAATCTTAGTATGGTGCACTCACGACAGACGATGGGAAGTGTAGTGAAAATCTTAAGCTATCGTTAATATATATTTTTCATTTATTTGAAGAAGGACATATCCATAATAATTTAATTCCCATTTAATTCGTGTTAACGAAGGGCGTTTTATAAAGACAGTACGAGGCTGTTTTGACCTCCAACAAAACATAGAAACCAAGCTCTACGGATTGAGAGATGTATAAGAGATCAATTGCGGACTCTACCGTGACATTAACTATTTTATTAACAGGTTGATGTTTAATCATGAACATGTAAAGTCTTACAATCTCCTGATCATATCTTATTTGTCTGTCCGAATGACTCCACTTCTGTTTGCCATTCCACGCTTCGCAAATTGAACATTCTTGACATTTTCTGTTCTCACAATTTAACAGCTTACTTCGTAAACTCTTCTTTTTTTAAATCATGTCATCAAGGCATATAGACGTCTACAGTCAAATTATGAACCTATATTCATTTACACTTTTTTAATCTCACCCTCATCAATTCTTTCATGCGCCACTTTACACTCATGTACTAGATTACTTCTTACACAACGAAATTTACTCCTCGCTGTTCTCTTCTATCCTACGTGGCGGACGTGGCGGAATATGTATATTTTAATAAAAATTTAAAAAAAGAATATAAATAAAATAACGTAGCGGACAATAAATCGCTCACATAAACACTAAATGAATAAATAACAACATTATATACCAAATCTAAACCCCTAAGGCCTAAACAAAGAACTCTGTGTTTACATTGGACCTTTTTTACACATCTCAGCGAACTTTCGATTATTGGTTTGCTGAATAATAGAAGAAGAAGATCCATGTTTTTCGAGCGTAAAAGATCGCCCAGCACAGCAAAGCACATATTGTGGACATGTATGCCAATGTAACAAGAAAACAAGAAGAATTCGAAAATCGAATTTACGAAAAATTTGAACGCCCAAAATATGAAAAGTCGCTTTTGTCTTTTGAACACACTTCGTGTACCGTTTGAAGATTTCCTGTTGAGACTATATATATAGTTACATATTACGGAGTGAATGATTAAAATAGTTAAATGTAATTCGTCTTCATAATTATAGGTATAGAAATCAATTTTATAGTTTATGTCAAATATTTCGTTTCCTTTTTTTAGAAATTTGTACATTGAGGCCATAGATAACGCTGGTTATGCGTGTTTTTAAAATATATTAATTTTTTTCATTTGAAAAGGATTCCAGACAAACTAAAATTCCTTGTTTCAATCAAACAATTTGTTATGGATATGTTCTATTATTTGCTTTGTATGTATATAGTGTCACCCAAAAGATGCTATTATTTTATGTGTCTCATCATTTTTAATCTATCAACAAACAATTGTCATTTTGATGATGTTTAAAAAGTGAAAAGTAAAACATTTTCAAAAACATGCCCCGAGTACTGCTACCGAGAGGTCGGACTAATTTTCATCAGTCAGAACACAAGCATCATTGTTCCATCTGGCGCTTCGAAAGCTCAAGCGAAACAGTCTTCAAAAGCACGGAGAAGCAGTTCGCGTACTATTTGGCTGGCAGCCGACTCTCCTCGGTGTTGCGTAATTAATTCCAAAATGTCACCTACCTGTATATTAAAATCTATCATCGAATTCTTGACCGAGAATCCCCACGTTCGGCGTATTCTGGCAAATCAAAAGGATATAAATAACATATTACTAATACGTACCTTGAGTTGAAAATACCTTGGCAAAGGGAAGCAAAATGTTGGCGATACTTAATCGATTTTGGAAAGGTATGGCGCCGAATAGCGGCGTTGATGAAATTTATTTTACTACGAGCCAGCGGAATGGCGTTTATATGACATTCAAAAGCCTACTTTGTTTTGAAAATTGTGTATGTCGGCTGTTCTCAAGTTGAGCAAATCTATAAACAAAAATTATTGCAAATTTCGAAATATTTCTTTCGTAATTCAAAACCGATCAGTATAAGTATCGCTATAGCTATCACTATCACTATCACCGGCAGAGTCACAATTAATAATTTGTAAGTCTTGGAACTTGAAATCTAGAGTTTTTCTAATGGTTTTTACAAGGAAATCAAATTCGGATAGACCTGTTAAAAAATTCATAAATTCGTGCACTGTTTGTATGGTCTGCATCGAAGCGCAATTTTCAAGATTTAGAAAATATATATAAAATATCAAGTAAAAATTCTATAGTTGGGCACAGCTCAACTCGCTTATTTTTCTGATTCAGTTTCGCGAAACGGCTTGCAAATGCTCCAGTAATATATAAAAACTAACACATTCCAGCGATTTTTTTTTCAAAATGTAAGCTTCTGTCACGTAGGCGCGTGGACGTTGTAGGCGTGTCCCGTGAAAAGTTTAGTTCACTTCGAAATTCTTTGCAAATTTGTGGGCGATATCTTCATTTTCGCTAATGGAAGAACGTCCACCATATACTCTACAAAGTTACGCTGACAAATAGATGGACAGATGAACACACGAATAAGTTCAGATGCATTCCCAATTTGAAACTGGCCAAGAATTTATATACTTTAAAGTGCTGAGATGACCAGATGGAAGGACAAATATGCCTAAAATTATCTCTCCCTAGTTGGGCCACTCAGTCAATTCAGTCTACATGTCCAAAAAATATTGGCAAAAACGATAAATCGTCTTCTCTCCCTACCTGTTCGGATGTATCAGCTGGGCACCATATTGGGCAAATCGTACAAACTGCATAAGCAAGTGTAGTCACTCTCTCTATTTTCTCCCGAGCTCAAAGTTCTGTATACGTGACAGCTAACGTTCTTAATACGAATAACGTCTGCTAGACGGCCATACTTCCTCGAAAGGCACTATTCAAGTCACGACTGGCGTCTGACACCTCTCAGGATAACAAAAAAAAGATATCTCGCTGCAAAAGTTCCATCCATCAATTTGAAGCGTGTAAGCGCTTGCAAAGAGAGAGAGAGAGAGAGAGAGAGAGAGAGAGAGAGAGAGAGAGTAGTCTCTTTAGAATCCTGAAAAACAACGTTCGCATATTTCCTATAATAATTGCTGCGGAATTGGTAATTTCTGCCGCAGAATATTGAAAGTTCACGTTTCTAAGTTCGATAAGTCTTCCCCCTTTTTTTCAAAAAACCTCTTAAAAACAGTTAAAGCCTCTATAAGTGATTTAGAGCATTTATACTATGGTTGGTTGATTTTGAAGCTTGCGGTCACTGGATTTAAACGAGTGTTCTCGTATAACAATACATTGAATCGATTGTTGTTGCATAATAAGAGGAAAGAAAATAATCAAAATCAATTTATATTACATTCATATGCTAAATGTGATAGACTTTAATTGAAAAATAAATTAATGAATGAGAAAACATTCTATTGTTAGTGCATTCAAGTATATATGTAGTCTTTGGTTATGCAAATGCATTGCAGTCTGTGTGGCTAGTGAAGCAAAAATCAGGACAAAATTCCGTGAACGCTATGAAATACAACAGTAGACACTAGACCAACTATAAACATAGTTAAAGAGCATTTATACCGTTCACAAGGAACGGAGGATTTTTATTTCATTGTTTGTATGTATTTTATTCGTGGGACTAATGTACAGCCAATTGATGACGTTGGTAATGTGTTGTTTATTGTTGTTATTGTTCTTTCTTCTTCTTCTCTTATCGTACGTGTACGTAAGTTTCGAGAGAAAATGATCTCATGTTTGAACAATGTTTTTTGTTTTGTTTTTCTATAGCGTATTAACGAATTGCAAGGCGCTACTAATGGGAACGTAGAAAAAGCAGTGATTCTCTATAAATAAGCATCTATAGTAATTAATGTTGTTTATGTTTAATATACGAAACTATAGCGAAATATTCTCACACAGAACTCACAGATAAAATATCAAAAAAAAAATAACAAAAATTTATAAAATGCTCCCGAGTGAGTTTACTTCGCAGCATTCGTAACGTATGCCATTCAGTTTGCAATGCAACAGACTACTGTATAGATCAGAAGCAGTTGTAAGCAAGAGCAAGAATTAATAATAATAATAATTAAAAAAAAAAGTAAAACTTTAGGGAATTTTTTATACGTTTGTAAATTTTCGCGTTTATCGTGCGAAATCACATACAAATCTAAAGTAATCTTTTTAAATTGAAAATTGTTTTTATTAAAAATTACGTATTCAACTAATTTGAGACCGCCTGTCCAAATAGCGGCATCCGGAGAAATGCACATACATCCCAGCTCTCCGAATTCAGACTTGTTACTGCAATCGGAGGAGAGCGCTGCCATTAAAATTCAAGCTGGTTTTCGTGGTTATCGTGTACGTAAACAGCTTAATCATCGTGCACCGCATCGTAGCTCTGCCCGTAACGGTTATCACGGTTCAAATTCGATTTTACGCCGCCAACAAAGACACCAACTGGCAATGTCCTCTCAACTACAACAGGATAATACCAATTCAGCCAATTCAGGCCGTAATCAACGTGATACGAATAGCAGTGAATCGGACAGTAATACCGTAGAAGACCAATGCGCGATCAAGATTCAAGCAGGTGTACGTGGTTTTCTAGTGCGTAAAAAGCAAAAAATGGCCGCCGATGCAGCCACTAAAATACAGGCAAGTTTTCGCGGTTTTAAAGCCCGTAAAGAGGTTCAAAAATTAAGACAAATGTAAATGTTAAAGTGACGCTGCCTAACGATGTCAATGATAATCGCTAATGGATTACGGTCATATCGTTTAGATATTCTTTTTAATATGAAATGACAGACAATAATAACAAAAAAAAGTTGGCCTTGACAATGAATCCAATTTTTAGAATCCATTTAATTGTAGGTAACAAGTCTTTATAATATAAATGTGCGTATGCATATAGTCCTGTAGTATTTGTGCGAAATAGTTTCAATAGCGTCCAGATATAATTATTCAATTATTCAAATATTTATGGATCTTTGCTCTGAACGTATAGGATTAAGGAGTAGACGAGTGAGTGGATAAATGACTGCAATGAGCAATTCTTAAGCATCTAAGATAAGACGAATAAGTTAAATTAGTTTTTAAGTTATTTTCTTTTAATATTTAGTAATGCGAAATATATATTAATTATACATATACACGTGCAAATATTTATGAAATTGTTTTATTTGTTTCTTTATTTATTTATTTTTGTTTTTTTCGTGCATCTTCATTAATTTCGTGCCAAAAATATTTCTTTAAACCTAAACAATGATTTCGCTTTAACATGAACAGAAAAAGAAATATTGTTATAAAAGAAAAATTAATGAAAATATTTTTCCTTCATAAGTTATATTTACTCTCAAGTGCTCTTTCGCAGGGGAACCTAAACAAATTAAAGGTGTAGGTGTGAAATAGACTACAATTCTTTTTTTTGTCCTTCATAAATATCGCGAGTATGCCTAAGTAGCGCGCGGTTAACTTATTAGTTTTTCAATAATATTAAGTAGCCATCTACGTTTTATGTTAAAAGTAACGGTAAATATGAAAAAAAGGAAAATTTTATTTACTAAAATTAATTTGCTGACTTCAAAAGTAGGCCGAAACGTCATAATTGTAATAAAATTGTGCTACTTGCGGAGCTAGTACTGCATGCTTTTCAGCTGCTTTAGCAAATATTGTAACCAATCACTCAGGGGATGTCACCTGTTCGTGTAGCGTTATAACGATTACAAAGAGATGACGAAAGAGGTAGAAAGACGGCTACAGACAAGTAGGTATGTGGTCAATAGGTAATTGTTATGCCTTTGCTGATTAAGCACTCATTTAAGCTACGACTACAGTAAACTCTGTAAACAGTAGAATAAGCAGTCGTGATTTTTACCTACCCGGCTATTTATGCGCATAAATTGAACATTTTTAGGCTACTGTGTGAAGTATTTCACGTGAAGACTTGAATCTTTTCAATCATATTAAATCGTAACCCAAACTCTAGCAAGCATGGCATCCGACTTGACTTCTTCGAATTTATGAGGCAACATACGGAAACCGAAAAATTTAGCCGACCTTGTGGCTTTTGATTAATGGTTTCGTCAATAGGCAGTCTGACGTGTCTGCCATACGAAAATAACTGTTTAAAGGTGACGCCTTTTCAGGCTTGTTTGAGTGTTTTGTGCCAGATATGGGCAAAAGTTAAGTTGAGTAGTTAAACAGGAGGTATGTTCATGTTTTGTATTCAGTGTGAGGACTCCAAGACACAAAGTTAGTTACGTTGATTGTACTTCGCGTTTTTTTATATGACAAAGATTGCTTTTGTAAGAATTCTGCGTATTATTTCTTTAGCGACGAAAGACCACATTGTTTAACACAATTGTAATTTTTGCCATAGACAAGGAAAATTAAACACTGTTTTTATGTGAACTTACTGTTATGGAAAAATGTAAGTGAAAACAAAAATTTTCGTGGAAATCTTAGTGTAGGGTAGCATTTAAAAATAGCCCTACGTGGTCCCAATTTTGTAGAGTTCATTCTTGTATCAAATTACAATTATGGGTTAATTTTCATCATAATGTATTAATTTAGAGTTTTCTACTCTTTAAAGGATCAATTTCCGTGAAAATCCTTATATGAACTAATATCCAAAAAATAGGCCGAGATGGCCCCAATTTGGTACAATCAATTTATTTTTTCATCATAAAGAATTAAAAATTCTTTTCCTTTTGTCAGATGAACTTTTTTACGTGATGAGAAGGCTAAAAAAATTGTCCCAGCCGGAGCAAAGTTTTCATATCAATTTAAATACCGAAATACTATTACTTAACCACTTTTCTCCAGAAATTGCAATTTGTTCCATATAAAGACTTCCCAAAATAGGGCGTTATATGGGAAGTGGTCGGAAAAGTGGACCTTTCAATACAATTTTCAATAAGCCCTGTCCTTAGGTCAAAACACGTCAGTGTACCTAATTTCAACAAAATATCTTAAAAATTGCGACCTATAGATTGAACCCATAATTAGTCGTAAAGACATGATGGGGACAGAGCGACAGACAGGCTTATATCGATTCACAAAATGATTTCGGGTTGCTTGGTATAATAACATGTGAGTGTTATCTCCGTCCGCGCAAAGTTAATATACCCTGCGCCACAAATGTAAGGTATAATTACCGTAGTTTATTTGTACAATTTTTTCAAGAAGAGACTAAACACTTTTATATCATGATCGCTTTCATTGCAGTGTCATTGGAAATAACACTAACACCAAAACTACCGAGTGCGGCAATTTGTCCTTCTTCAACTTTTAAGCGTCGAGAAGGTGATTATAAAGCATGAAAAGTCACAACATTTCTTAATGGCTTTTATTTATATAAGAAGACCTTTATTTAACTTTATTTTTTTCCACTTGTAGTAGTCTTCCATCCTTCGAATTACACATTCACATTACGCTGATTCTGTCAACAGTGTCAGAGAGAGTTCAACCGTGAATGCTTGCGCAGAAGAGTTTTCTGCTGTTTACTCGTGACAAAATTTAAAGAAAACCTTGCAAGCTCTGGTGAAAGGGATCTGCTTTGCCCTCTTTTCATGTCACTTATTTCATATATTTACTTGACCGATAAAAGGTATTCAAAATTCTCGACAAAATGAGTATTAGTTTAGTTACGTGTTATATCTTCATTTCTTTTGGCTTTGAACTGGTCATTGCATTTTGAGAGATAATTCATAATGATTGTTGGCAATAAAGAAAAATTTCCGAAATAGATAGTAAATAATGCGTGAGTATTCCCTGTTGTTGTTGGCATATTTACATTTGGCATATTTTCGTGCTTTTCATGCTTTATAAGTTAATGTTCATATGCGTTTGATTTTTGTCTTTATACTAGAGACCAAGCAAGTAAATAAAATTATTAATAATGAACACCTTAAATGGGAAAGTTGTAAACCTTCAATAGAGCAACTTTTGGCACAGGTATTATATGCAATCGGCATTGCATGGTGACATCAACTGTAGGTATTAATATTGTTAGACGCTTCGCTGCTAAAGTAACACGTATTGCCGGCAAATTAAGGCAGTTAAGATGAATTTTCACATCAAGTAAAATTGTAGTATTTAATATATTAACATTATAATATATTAAATTTTGTCATTGCATTGATAATGGAAACTAAAGAGATTTTTGAAAAATTCTTGCGTGAATAAGTTTTCTTTTCTACACATTTAAAAAAAAGAAAAAGTTTAGTTTACATATGGTTTCAAAGGAGTTTTTGAGATGGTTGGAAACAAATCTGGTTAAGGTCCAGGCAGTGCAAGTTTTGCTGGGTCCGAAACATTGTACGGAATACTCTGGCAATACGCCAAATTTAAGGAATGAAAGAAAGCAGCTTTAGAAGTTGATATTACTCACTGGATGAAATGAGATTATTACACTTTTGGTGTAGGGCGAGTAAAAAGTAACGGAAAAATACGGCGAATGTAAGCATAACTTTCCCCAATATTCATTATAAATATTTATTTATTTATTTATTTTAATTCTACTTATACTAGAAACTCAACTAAACAAATAACAGTCGAGTTCAATTGACTCTTAATGCAAAACTTATATTAATTAGTAATAAAATTGAGTATAAGTATAATAAAACAAATAAGAAGAAAAAAAAAGAAAAAAAGCATGTACACTATCAGCATAGGGCTACACTTACAATCGGTACAGGACCAAATTGCAAAGGAACCCCTAAGCCATCGCAAACATGCATAAGCCTGGCAACCGATAATAAACTGACAATAATTCACTTTCGAAACGTAACGACTTTTTAAGGATAAAAGCTAGTTTAAAT